CCAAAATCGTAAAAGAATTCTTCCAGAAAAATGGAATACAACAAATGACAAGTCCACCTTTTCATCCGATGAGCAATGGAGCAGCCGAAAACAGTGTCAAACACTTCAAAGCCAAGATAAACGCTGCATTGCAAGATCCAAAGAACAACAATGTATCTTTAACAACTCTAATATCAAGATTCTTATTAACTTACAGAAATACTCCTCATGCAACAACAGGAAGATCCCCAGCAGAAGCAATTTTCAACAAAAGGTTAAGAACAAAACTAACATTGCTAACAGAACAACCAAAAGAAGCAATGGAATCAAGGGATCCAAGCGACAGAAAGTATAGAGAATATGAAAAGGGCAATACTGTAATGGTGAGAGATTACACACTACCAAATAAAAAACAATGGACTCAAGCAACTATAGAGAAGAGAATTGGAAGAACAATATATTTGTGCAAGACAAGCAATGGAAAGCGATGGAAACGACACCTAAACCAAATAATTCAGCAAACTCAAGACCCTGACTTGCTGGAAAATTCACACAGAAGATGACAATTACTCACATATTGAAATTGGGAAAGAAAAGCCTTCCTCACGTACCTCAAATTTGGAGGAGGCAGGAGAGTCTGCGGTAGTCACCCATAATTCACCACCTTGTAACAACTCTCCACATTCTCAAAATAACTTTAATCCTAACATTTCAGAAAGTAACCAAGAACATAACATGTCTAGTGACAGAGGTGATGAGAGTTTTGACGAGATTTCTAATTCTAGTTTTGTTTCAGCAGGTTCAAATTCAAGTGGCTCTAACCTACCTCACCAGTCACCAGGTGAAAGCAGGCAACACAGCCCTAAAAAGCAGGCCATTGACAGCCAAGCTGTGGTCAGACGCAGTGGAAGGATTATCAAACAACCTCCACATTTAGCAGAATATCTTTCTGGAAAGGAAATCGACAACCTCTGAAAAAGAGTGACAAAGAAGTAACAAAACTTTCCAAATGACAAGATTTTAGAAATGTAAAATTGATTTTGTATTTTCTGACGCCTGGTTTCGCTGGAGACTGGAAAATTGTGTATTTATTATTTATAGTAATGTAAAAGTACTTATATTATTTAACAAATGTTTAAAAAGAAAATGTATGTTCTTGCAAATGTTTGATGTTTCACGTTGTTTTCCTCTGCTGCATTCCTTAAAGCTTAATTTATGTTCAATCGCACCTTCGACAGGCCTTTTTATTAATTCGGCACTAAAAAGGCCCTTTTGAAATTTTCTTTTGCGTCCTGGTGACACGTTTAGAACAAAATATTTTTTCTCAACATTTGAGACACGTCTCAAGGTGGCCCAAACTTCGTGTCTCATTGTAACCCATGGTAGATCTGAGTTACAAACAGCAGTATTTTGGTCAAACGTGAAAAAATCGACTCGTAATATACATAAACAATGAAATTAATATCCACCTGTTGTGTTGGAAACCTCAGAACAAAATGAAAATATATTGGGAACGGCTGATGGAGTACTGAACTTACAGCAAAAGAAATTTCACTAAGGCGAAAACGAATCGGAACCGGCAAAAAATTCGAGGGCGCACGTGCAGCTTCTCTGGCAACAGAAATGAGACTAACATGTTTAATACTTGATGTACTGTGAAATGGAGACAAATAGCCCACGTTATTAAAAAATAATGGCGACTGCCTCATGGTAAAAAATTTGATATATATAATATAAGTATCTTTATTGTAGGACTTGCCTAATATACAAAACAAGATTACAATGTACAAAATAAATTATTTACATCATCATACATCAGTAAAAGAAGGCACTATTACACATTATTATTTCAATACAATATACAATAGGACAATAGGATGATTTCATAGACCAATATCACAAAGTGTCATCTCAATCTCACAAAACTATTAAAGACTATTAATATTAACTACATTCTCCGCATATGCTGGCTCAACAATCTTTTAAACATATTTACATTTGGTAGATTTTTTAGTTCCATAGGTAACTTGTTGAATGCGTCTAAACCTTTATTAAATAAACTGTTCATACTACTTTTTAAGTTAGTTCTTGTAATGTGGAAGATATTTCTTGATCTAGTTCCATAGTTATGTACTTCATTATTGCGAATAAGAAATTTATCAAAATAGATTGGTCTATTATTTTGTTGTGTAATTTTAAATATAAATGTCATACTCAAGTAATAAATCCTATCACGAACTGATTGCCATTGCAGAGTTATTAACATAGTGCTAATTGGTGTGTATCTATTACACTTTAGAATACACCTCATTCCCTTATTTTGTAGTTTCTGTAATTTTGAAGTATGGTTTTGATTAAATGAGTACAATAGTGTAGCGCAATAGTCAAAGTGAGGTCTGATGATACAGTTATAGCACGTGAGTCTAGCGTTTAAAGAAAGTGATTTTGAAATTCTAATGAAGAAATACAACTTCTTTGAAATCTTTGATATTATATATTCAGCATGTTTATCTAATCGAAGTTTACTATCTATCAGATACCCTAAATATTTTATTTCACTTTCAATTTCAATCCTACAATTATTAATCTGAATATTTATTGAATTTATGTTTATATTCCTATGTTTAGCTTCGGTAGTTATAATCATAGCTTTAGTTTTAGAGACATTTAATTTTAGTTTGCTAATACTTAAGTATTCTTCTATATTTTCTAGCGATTCGCTAATTTTTTCTTGTGCCCTTGTTAACTCTTTATCCATGACATAAATAAGTGTATCATCAGCAAACAAGTTGATTCTATGCATACCTGGAACATAACTAATATCATTCAAATATATTATAAATAGAAGAGGGCCCAAAACACTACCCTGTGGGACACCCATATCATTTAAAAGTAAATCTGACATACAATCACACACCCTAACCTTCTGAAACCGATCACTTAAGTAAGATCCTAGCCAGCCCAATGCCAGCCCAGTAACTCCATAATATTCTAATTTATTCAACAGTGTTTCTCTATTTATTGTCTCGAAAGCTCTTTTAAAGTCTAAAAAGGCAGCTACAACATACTGATTATTATCTAAACAGTTTTTCCACTCTGAGATAATAAGTTGTAATGCGGTTTCACATGAATGGCCTTTGCGAAAACCAGACTGATAGTCGAGAAAAAGATGATTTTCATTGAAGTATTCAACTAATTGATCATAAATTGCCAATTCTAATATTTTTTCGAGACATGGTAACGTGTTTATCGGTCTAAAATTTGCAGCATTTTCTGTGTTGGAAACTTTTGGTATAGGCGTAATTGTACTGGTCTTGAGCTGATCTGGAAATATACCAGACTTTATTGATGCATTAATAAAATTCAAAATGACATGACCTATAGAATACAAAGACTGCTTAAGAAATTCGCTGCTTATTGTTTCACCCTTATTATTTTTATCCAAAGAAAAAATAATTTTTTTCAGTTCAGAAAATGTTATTTCTCTAAAGCTAGCTAAGCCACACAAAACTGGTTCATAACCAGCTGGAGACCACTGTTGGGCTGTGGAAATACTCATGGAAATGTCAACAATGCTAGTAATAAAGTACTGATTGAAAGAATTTGCAATTACCATTGGATCTGTTTCAATTTTTTTCTGATTATCAATAAAAAATTCTATTTTGTTAAATATTTGGTTTTTTGATGGATTAATTAGTTGTTTCAAGTATTTCCACATTTCTTTTGGATTTTGCTTATTTTTGTCAATTTTATTTTCAAAATAAAGCTTTTCTTTATTCTTAAGAGAGTTTGCATATCTATTACGACAGATTTTGTACTGCTCCCATTTTTGATCCCTTTCTTGCATATTGCTGGATCTAAATTGTTTATACGCTCGATCTTTTTCTTTGGACAAATTTTTTAGAACATCATCATAATATGGTACCTGATTCGAATTACATTTAATTTTTTTCAATGGTGCAACCTGATCAACAACAAACGTACAATTTTCCAAAATTTCTCTCACAACAATATTTACATCTGCAGTATTTAAATTCCAATTCAAAGACAACAATCGTGAATTAATTTCCCGAAAAGTATTATCATTCAACCGTCGGACATGCATATATTTATCTATTCTAGGTTTCAAGCAATTGAAAAGATTTATTGAAATCAATGAGTGATCAGTTATCTTTGGCAAATCAACTACTTCCGCATTAACATTCTCGAAATTACTTATAACATAATCAATTAAAGTTCTTGAGTCCTTTGTTAATCTGGTATAGGTTGATATCAATTGATCAACGCCACATGAATCTAACATATTTTTAATTTTTCTTGTATAAAAACCATCATTATTACTAAAGTCAATATTTACATCACCAACCAAAATACATTTTTTTCCATTAAAATATTTATCAAGTATTTCATCAAAACATTCCAAAAACAGGGGATGACTTGCATTTGGTGAATGGTACAGCCCGCCTATGAGCCACTTCTTTCCACTTACTTTAACTTCAACAAATTGAATCCAAAAATTCATATCATGCACCAATGACTCTTTCACTTTAAATTCAATATCATTTCGAATGTAGATTATGACTCCACCAGTGTGTCTTGTTGAACTGTCACAACGAACAGTATTGTAGTTATCTATTGATAATTCTGAATCTTGAAACTCCTCAGTAATTCTTGTCTCACTCAGTATAACAATAAGCGGACTATAGCAAAAAACATTTGTGATTAACTGTACTTTATGCGCATAAAGGCTTTCAATGTTGAGATAAATAATATCTTGGTTGATGGAAATAAACTGATGCTTACCCTTTTGGACAATTTGATGCATATTAGGATCCATTAGTTTTTTCTATTGTTTGGTAGATTTTGATCATTTGTTTTCTTTACTATGGTGGGAACAGAATTTACAAACTTAATTGTTTGAGAGTTATCACCACTTGCAACAATATCTTGGGGCCTTTTCTGTACCGATTTGAAATATAATTGTTGTTTTTTCGTTTGATCCCCAAACATTCTTATATTTGTTAAGTTCTTCCTACTTCTAGAACTTCTTTTGCATCATTAGCATTATCAAACACAACTTTTATGGGTCTACAACGATTTTGTTGATATTTTCCCAATCTTTGTACCACAACATTCCTATCAACAATATTAATATTTTCCAATAATTTCAGTACTGTTTGCTTTTCATCCAAACTTCGTTCAATTCTGTTTGCCTTTATTGACTCATTAATATTCAATATAATAACATTTTTTGATCTGAGTTTTCTTTCTTCCATTTCAGTAATCATATTCTCAATTTCTTCACTTATATTTGCTGTTGCTAATTGATGGGGTGTTGCTTCAAGAATATCAATTTTTTCTTGAATCAATTTAATGTTTTCAGTAGTTTCCGCTACTTGTTTTTTTAAATTATTCATACCAGTTTTGAGATTCTTGACTTCTTTTATTATATTAGGAATTTTCTTAAAAGCTTCTCTGCATTCAGGACAAAAGTAGATAAGTGATCTACTTTTCAGCACTACTGCTCTCACCTCACTAGCCGCCAAGCCCAAACAACCCTCATCGATGTGAAAAGGTAACATGCAGCTATCACATAACACATATTTTTGATCTTTTCCAACGTCTTCAGAACATGTACCACATTCTCTCGACATTTCACAAAATGTTTACTTTACAACAATGTATTTAAAAAGTCATAGAGGGAAGGGGTAAGATCATTAAAGCACATAAAAATGGATATTTGATTATTAAATAGCGTGGCAATTGGTTAATATAACTCGCCTACACTACATAGGTACGTTTTATTGTTTATTGTAAGTAAGCGTATGAATAATAATCCTTGAAAAGTTGAAATACGAAACAAGTCGGATCCTTGCTGTTGCCGAATTCCTTGCCACGTCTCTGACGGGTTTTTATCGACTTTTTATAATGTAAGCAATATGAAATATCATTGGGGAAATCTACACTTTTCCAGATTGTTCTAACGGCATATATTCGAGAGACAGCTATTTATCATCTGGAGAAATTGATATTTTGTGCTAAGCAGATTTGTTTCGGCAGCTCAAACTTCCGACAGAAAAAAAGATCGGTTCTCGGTAAATATGTATACCTTAATTTACCGAAAACCGCGAACAGTTAAATATTTTATTTTCCCGTTCACATTTTTTTTTAACATTATTCGGTGACCTTGAGTTATGCAGCTTGAGCTCTGCCATCGGATGCGGTGTTCAACAAATTTAATATAGAGCTGAAAAGACAATCACACTTAAAAAGTTTACTCAACTTCACTTAGTCAACGACTCGGCCTCATAATTTTGATTTATTTCTAGTACGATTGTGAGGAAACAAATATTATATACCCATTCGTTTGCGCCTCCCAGATCTTGCACTGAGATGCTATTCCTTTATGTTATTTCTGTAAGGAAGCTCTCAGTTATTACCATATGAATTTATTCTCTCAAAATAATAACCTTAAAATCACATCACTAGCCGCAGTCCAAAGCTTTGCGTAAGTTGAAAGCAATATTTATTTAAATTTATGCAAAAAGCCGAAAATCCTCACTGTCATATTTGCATGTACCTGATATTTCAATTATTAAAGAAACTTTTCCACCTGGGAGGAACTGTTTTAATTAAGTGAAAATTGTCCAATAATAAAGGTGAGTGCTATTCACTAGTCACAGAGTAACCAATTGGACCTATTTAGTTTATTTATTTAATAAATTTTCACCAATAAATATTCTATTGAAATTCATATTGAAATTCATATTGAATGGAGTACCTACGTTGCGATCTTATATTGTATAATATGGGTTAGGTTAGGTTTCTTGTGTGGTCGAATTTCGTCCGTTCCACTGCGACCCGCGGTCTATGGTGGCTCACTCTGAGTTTATATTTGCCCCATCAGTCTAATGAAGGTGAAATTAAGTGTGGGGGAAGCATGCTTAATAGATTCGGTCGAACAGCTGACTCTCCAAAAAGACCGTGCCTGATTCTAGCTATTGCCGGACACGTAGGTACATGGGACATGTCCTGCAGTTTCGTCCTCTTCCATGCACAGATGACACTCGGCACTTTGTGCTATTTCGACCCTGTGCATGTGATATCAGTCTGCATCGTGCAGAGTACAGACCCACCAGGGCCTTAAGGCTCTTCTTCCCTATTCCCAGAAGAATGTCTGCCACTTTCCCTCTTCTCCTTTGGGCAGGGTTGCATGGTTCATGCCTGGTAACCTCGACCAATATTGTTTGGCCTCTGAATTTGGCCCACCTCAAGATTGTGCGGTTGGCCGTATTTAGGGCTGGCTATTCCCGGTACTGGCTCCGGTCCAATGAAGTTAAGCTCGGATCCAGATTTCGCAAGTTGGTCGGCTTTTTTGTTGCCTTCTTGTCCGGTATATCCCGGTATCCAGACGGACGTTGTTGTTTTCTCTTAGCTGGGTCAGGGCTTCTTTGCAGTTCCATACTGTTTTGGACGTGCAATATATGGAACCAGTGCATTCAGCGCAGCCTGACTTTAAAAACATGTTTTTATCAATTTGTGCGTCTGTTGCTTATTCAGCAGCTTTTTTACGCTAAGCTCGATGGCCTGAAATTTGCCCTGGAATATGGATGCGTTATTGCCAAAGCTGTGCGAAATTCCTAGCTTTGGTTTTTCACCATATACCCCTGCTTCGACACCATGTTTAGTTTTGGAGCCATCTGTGTACAGGCAAAGATCTACCTTCAGTAGCTCGGTTCTGTCGCTGGCCTATAGCTCTCTGTCGAGAATCTTGTTTTTATAAGCGTAGCAATAATGAAACTTGCGGAAACCGATTATTTGATCTATTTTATTAGAGCATTTTTTAACATTTTATGACACATTACTAACATATTTGACATTACCAGTAACAACTGACTTTTAATAATATAGGTATGCTAGTTAATAATTGTTAACATAAAAACACAAGGTTTACCCTTATACATTTATTTTCGATATCTATGTTCTCTGAACAATTTCGTTTGAAGTTATCGTGCCGAAAATTTTGATCCATAGGAGTAGAGCATGGCTTGCAATCCAGCATGTCGAATCGTTTCAAAACATTGTTTAGGTATGTTGTCTGATTTATAGTTATTTTATCTTTTTCTAAATTTTGTGTGATTAACATTCCTAAAAAATGCCTAATCAGCCCTAAATCTTTAATTTTAAAATGTTTACCAAAAGTTTGTTTAAGTTTGCCAACTTCCAAATCATCTGAACCTGCTATCAAAACATCATCAACATAAATTAAAACCCATATTTTTGAAACATCTGGGATTTTCAAATAAATGCAGTATTCATTTTCAGATCGAACAAAATTCATGCTTAGCATCAAATCATTGAACTTTTTATACCAATTCTTTGATGATGTTTTTAAGCCGTGCAGCGATTTTCTTAGCTTTATAAGTTGTTATATTACCCAGTTCGTTTTTCTTCCGTTTAAACACCCACTTGCAGTCGATTATCTTGTCTTTAATGTCATGTTTGTTCACCGAAAACCAAGTTTCAATCTCTTCTAATGTACTTATTTCTGCTTGTATGGCGTCTTTCCATTTTCCACTTTCACTACTGGCCATTGCATCTTTATAATACGTCACTTCATCTTCATCACACATTGACACTAACACTTTATCCAGATTCATTTCAAAGTCATTATATCTTGGGTTTGGTTTTTTTGCTCTTCTTAAATTATATGGACTGTTTATTATTTCATTATTTATATCTGAATCATCACTTCCTACATCCTCATAATTTAGGTCATTTTCACTGATTTCTGGCAAGTTTCTGTCATCTCGGTCAGGATTTTCATTTATTTGTATCTGTTCTATATGATCTTCAATTCTTTCTGTGTTTTCTTCGGGTATCAGAACTTTTTCTTCTAGTTTTTGTATCACATTTTTCTTTTCGGGCAAAAATATTACATCACGATGTGTCTCCACTTTGTTCGTTTCGGGAAAAAACACCCTGTATCCTTTTATATCCTCTCCATATCCCAGAAAAATACCTTGTTTATTTTTTTGCATCCCATTTTAACCTTTTTTGTTTAGGTACGTGCACAGACACTGTGTGTTGTTTACCATTATATCATTTTTATGCCAAAGTTTATATGGATTTTCTGCTCCTTGGGGGCTTGGGCCTGTTTTGTTCAAAATGTATGTTACCGTGTTGATAGCCTCAGCCCAAAAAGATTTATCCAACTTCGTAGTACTACTTAACAGTGTTCTTGCAGCTTCAACTAAAGTGCGATTTTCTCTTTCTGCACGACCATTTTGTTGTGGTGTATAGACTACCGTTCTCTGATGTCTTATTCCCTTTCTTTCTAACAAATTTGCAACTTCTTTATTCACAAATTCCAAGCCATTGTCTGTTCTTAGAACTTTCATTTTGCAGCCTGTTTCTCTTTCTGCCAAGTTTATATATTTTTCTAGAAATGTTTTTACTTGGGATTTGTTTTGCAAAAAATAAACATATCTATAGGCGGAAAAGTCATCTTTTAGTAAAAGAAAATATCGGGAGCCGCCTAAAGATATGGTCTCCATAGGTCCACATAGGTCTGCATGCACCAATTCCAGCATTGTGGTGGCTCTTGATTTGCTGCTTTCAAAGGTCAAACGATGTTGTTTACCTGCCAGGCATGGTTCGCATACAAAATCTTTGTCACATTCCACATACCCTATATTGTTTCTATTTAGAAAATCTCTCACATATTTTAAATTTTGGTGTGCCAAGTTGTTATGCCATTCCACTATGGTTTCTATTTTATTGACTTTCATGCAAAAAGGATCATCTTCATAACTATATCTTCTTGTGGAGTATTTTCATTTGCAAAACAGGTGGATGTGTTATATTCCGCGCACTTGCCGCTTCTCGAGCGTGATAGGACATTTCCTTGCGAGTGCGCATATCCGTAAAAAAAAAAAAAAAAAAAAAAAAAATTCTGTTTTATTTACTGACGTAAAATGCATTTTATAGAGTTTATTCACTCTTGAAGCTAGTGCCCTTATGTTGCCAATTTTATCAACAAATTCACATTTTCTATGATCTGACCTCATATAGTATCCTTTGTCAAGAGCACAGCCTGCAGAAAATAAATTATATTTCAACTCAGGCACATATAAGACATCTGACAATGTTGTTTTCAATAATTTTTCACCGTTATATGCCCATACTGTGACTTTCCCTATGCCTTTAACCTCCCGTGTTTGCCCATTTCCTACTTGAACTAGCCTTTTTATTTTTAGTTTATTTATATTTTCAAAACTATTTTTGTCCCATGACATGTGCTCACTTGCACCAGTATCTAAGCACCAATCATTTGTTTTTTGTTGTCCTGCGGAAACCATAAATGAATTTGTGTCTGTTTCATTATTAGATTGTTTTGAACACCTTTCTTTGCCTTTCTTTAACCAGCAAGTTTCTCTGTTATGGTTTTTCTTCTCACAAAACTTACAAAACTTTCTATTACCAGAATTTTCAGATTTTTCTTCTGGTGTTTCATTATTTTTATTTCTAAAATAACAATTTCTAGCAAAGTGACCAAGCTTAGAACAAATATGACACCGTA